ACATATAAATACACACACATATGCATAACAAGTAAGGCAAAGTGCTACGGGGTGGACACGCACCTATGGAGCCAAGTTTCTTGCTGTTGTATTGGTCGTCTTGCCTGTCATCTTCACTCCTTGTGTTCTGGGTGATCAAATGAACAGACATCGCAAAATTAGATCATGCTTAATTTGACATGTGAGAAAATAAGAACCAGGATAAGTGCGATTCACCCGAAACACTCGCTGCCGGAGTATTGTGTGGCAAAACAAGCAGGAGCCACAAAAATGACGTCATGCTTATTTTGACATGTGAGATAATACTATGGAAAGTGCTTATGGTCTGAAAGTCTAGTTACGAATAGTTGTGAAAGACTAGTTACGAAAAGTTGGGAAAGACTAGTTACGAATAGTTGTGAAAGACCTGTGGGACAGAACAAACGGTGGCCAGACTATTGGCCACGGCATAATGCGACATGCAGGGCATGGTATGGCTCGGGTGTGATGAGCGCATTAATCGGAAATTAATTGGATAGCAAGTGCATTAATTCACCAACCCATTAATTTGGCAAGCCACTATTACAACAGCACACGCACACATGCAGCTCTCCCTCTCACGCACATATACATCACGCATTCCCCTAGCTATGGAAACCATTCTCATATGTGACAACCCAAACGAAAGTACTAAGTTATCAACCTAACCAAGCCACTAAAACAACAGCTCACACAGACACAGACACACACATACACAAACAGTCAGACACAGCCACAGCCACAGCTACATACGTCGTCGCTGCTAGTGCCTTGTCCTTCGCCGTCTGGGACTGTCCACTCTTGTGAGCGGTCGTCAGCCTCACGAGTCTCATCCAACTCCATCTGCAAGAAGTCGTTCATCTCCGTGCGCGACTGACGCATGGTGTCATCATCCCATGTGTCGTAGTGTGTCTTGAACATCCGCTGCACCTCCGTACGGGCCACCCTGGGTGGAGACAAAACGAGTGGCAACCGTTAACTGCTGCCTTGTGTATGTACCACACACACACACACACACATATA